CTTCACCCAGGCTGGAGTGCAGTGATGCAATCTCACTGCAACCTCTTCCTTCCGGGTTCCAGCGATTCTCATGCCTCAGCCTTCTGAGTAGCTGGGACTAAAGGCACGTGCCACCATGTCCAACTACTTTTTTGTATTTTTAGTAGAGATGGGGTTTCACTATGTTGGCCAGGCTAGTCTCTTAATTCCTGACCTCAGATGATCTGCCCATCTTGGCCTCTCAAAGTGCTGGGATTACAGGCATGAGCCACTGCGCCTGGCCTGGAGCATGGATAAAACCCAATGTAAAGAAGCTAAGAATCATGATAAAACTATAGAAGCTGATGATAACCAGAATAACCAGTTTAGAGAGGAACAAAACTGACCTTATAGAGCTGAAAAGCACAGCACAAGAAATTCACTGTGCAATCACAGGTATCAATAACAGAATAGACCAAGAGGAGGAAAGTATCTCAGAGCTTGAAGATTAACTTTCTGAAATAAAATGGCAGACAAGAAGAGAGAAAAAAGAGAATGAAGAAAATGAACTAACAAAACCTCCAAGAAATATAGGAGTATGTAAAAAGACAACCTATGACTGATTGGGTTACCTGAAAGAGATGGGGAGAACAGAACCAAGTTGGAAGACATACTTTAGGATTTCATCCAAGAGAATTTCCCTAACCTAGCAAGACAGGCCAACATTCAAATTCAGGAAATTCAAAGAACCCCAGTAAGATACTCCACGAGAAAACCCCAGAACACGCAGTCATCACATTTGCCAAGGTCAAAGTGAAAGAAGAAAAATGTTAAGGGAAGCCAGAGAAGCCAGGTCTCCTAAAAAAAAGTCAAGTGCATCAGACTAACAGCACACTTCTCAGTGGAAACCTAACAAGTCAGAAGAGATTGGGGACCAATATTCAACATTCTTAAAATTACCAACCCAGAATTTCATATCTGGCCAAACTAAGCTTAATAAACAAACGTGAAATAAGATCCTTTTCAGACAAGCAAATGCTGAGGTAATACATCACCACCAAGCCTGCCTTGCAAGAGCTCCTGAAAGAAGTACTAGATGCAGAAAGAAAAAACCATTACCAGTCACTACAAAAGCACACTGAAGTATACAGACCAGTGACACTATGAAGCAACCACATAAACAAGTCTGTAAAATAACCACATAGCATCATGATGACAGGATCAGATTCACACATAATATTAACCTTAAATATAAATGGGCTTAATGCCCCAATTAAAAGACACAAAATGGCAAGCTGGATAGAGTCAAACCCCATCAGTATGCTGTCTTCAAGAGACACATCTCACATCCAAAGACACACATAGGCTCGAGGGAGGAAAAATTGAAAACAGAAAAAAGCTGGGGTCAAAATGCTGGTTTCTGAAAAAACAGACTTTAAACCAACAAAGATTAAAAAAAAAGGGGGGGGGCATTACATAATGGTAAAGGGTTCAATTCAACAAGAAGAGCTAACCTAAATATATGTGCACCCAATACAGGAACACTCAGATTCATAAAGCAAGTTCTTAGAGACCTTGAAAGAAACTTAGATTCCCACACAATAATAATGGAGACTTTAACACCCCACTGACAATATTAGATCATCAAGACAAAATTAACAAAGACATTCAGGACCTGAACTCAGTTCTGGATCAAGCGGACCCCATAGATGATAGAAACCTCCATCCCGAAACAACAGAATATAGTCTTCTCATCGCCACATGGCACGCTAAAATGGATCACATAATTGGAAGTAAAACACCCCTCAGCTAATGCAAAAGAACTGAAATTAAATTGCTCAGACCACAGCACAATCAAGTTAGAACTCAATATTAAGCAAAACACAAAACCACACAACTGCATGGATACTGAACAACCTGTACCTGAGTGACTCCTGAGTAAATAATGAATTAAGGCAGAAATTAAGAAGTTCTTCGAAACGACTGAGAACAAAGAGACAATGTACCAGAATTTCTGGGACACAGCTAAAGCAGTGTTAACGGGGAAATTTATAGCACTAAATGCCCACAACAAAAAGATCTCAAATCAACAACATAACAACTAAACTAGAGGCCAGGCATGGTGGCTCACACCTGTGATCCCAGCACTTTGGGAAGCCGAGGTGGGCAGAGTACTTGAGCTCTGGAGTTCAAGATCAGCCTGGTTGATGTGGTGAAAACCCATCTCTACTAAAAATACAAAAATTAACTAGGCATGGTGGTGCACACCTGTAATCCCAGCTACTTTGGAGGCTGAGGCAGGAGAATTGCCTGAACATGGGAGGTGAAGGTTGCAGTGAGCCAAGGTCACACCCCTACACTTCAGCCTGGGCAAGAGAGTGAGACTCCATCTAAAAAAAAAACAAACAAAACCTAGAGAACCAAGAGCAAACAAACCCCAAAGCTAGCAGAAAAGAAATAACCAAGATCAGAGCAGAACTGAAGGAAATAGAGATGTGAAAAAATCCTTCAATAATTTAATGAATCCAGGAGCTGTTTATTTTTTTAAATAGACTGCTAGCTAGAATAATAAAGAAGAAAAGAGTGAAGAACCAAATAGACACAATTAGAAATGATAAGGGAGATATCACCATTGGCCCCCACAGAAATACAAACAACCATCATATATTGTAAACACCTCTATTCACATAAACTAGAAAATCTAGAAGAAACAAATTCCTGGACATATACATTCTCCCAAGATTGAACTGGAAGAAACTGAATTCCTGAGTAAATAACAATTTCTGAAACTGAGACAGTAATAAATAGCCTACCAACCAAAATAAGCCCAGGACCACACAGATTCACAGTTGAATTGTATCAGAGGTACAAAGAAGAGCTAGTACCATTTTTATTGAAACTATTTTGAATAATTGTAAAGGAGCGACTTCTCCCTAATTTTATAAGGCCAGCATCATCCTAATTCTAAAACCTGGCAGAAATACAACAACAACAAAAGACTTAAGGCCAATATCCCTGATGAACATTGATGCAAAAATTCTCAATAATATTAATATCGGCAAACTGAATCCAGCAACATATCAAAAAATTTATCCACCACAATCAAGTCAGCTTCATCCCAGGATGCAAGGTTGATTCAACATATGCAAATATTTAAGTCAATAAATGTAATTCATTACATAAACAGAATAAAAGACAAAAACCACATGATTATCTCAGTTGACACAGAAAAGGCCTTTGATAAAATTCAACATCCCTTTATGTTAAAAACTCTCAATAAACTAGGTATTGAAGGAATATACCTCAAAATAAGAGCCATTATATGACAAACCCACAGCCAGTATCATACTGAATGAGCAAAAGCTGGAAGCATTCCCCTTGAAAACTGGCACAAGACCACCACAATCAACATAGTATTGGAAATTCTGACCAAGGAAATCAGGCAAGAGAAAGAAAAAGCATGTTCATATAGGAAGAGAATAAGTCAAATTACCTTTGTTTGCAGGTGACGTGATCCTATACCTAGAAAACCCCATTGTCTCAGCCCAAAAGCTTTTTAAGCTGAAAAGCAACTTCAGCAAAGTTTTGGGATACAAAATCAATGTGCAAAAATTGCTTGCATTCCTTTATACCAACAACTGGCAAGCAGACAACCAAATTAAGAATGAACTCTGACTTGCAATGCTACAAAGAGAATAAAATGCTTAGGATTATGGCTATCAAGGGAAGTGAAGGACCTCTTCAAGGTGAACCACAGACCATTGCTCAAAGAAATCAGAGAGGACACCAACAAAAACATTTCATGCTCATGGGTAGGGGGAAATCATGGAAATAGCCATACTACCCAAAGTAATTTATAGATTCAATGCTATTCCCCTTAAACTACCATTGACATTCTTCACAGAATTAGAAGAAACTATTTTAAAATTCATATGGAACAACAACAACAACAAAAAGCCTGAATAGCTAAGACAATTCTAAACAAAAAGAACAAGGCTGGAGGCATCATGCTACCTGACTTCAAACTATACTACAAAGCTACAGTAACCAAAACAGCATGGTACTTGTGCAAAAACAGACACATAGACCAATGGAACAGAATAGAGAACTCAGAAATAAGACTGCATACCTATAACCATCTGATCTTTGACAAACCTGACAAAAGCAAGCAAAGGGGAAACAATTCCCTATTTAATAAATGGTGCTGGGAGAACTGGCCAACCATATGCAAAAAATTGAAACTGGACCCCTTTCTTATACAAAAATTAACTCAAGATGGATTAAAGATTTAAATATAAAATCCCAAACTATAAAAAGCCTAGAATAAAATCTAGGCAGTGCCATTTAAGACATCAGCACTGGCGATTTCATGACAAAAATGCCAAAAGCAATAGCAACAAAATAAAAAAATCAATGGGATCTAATTGAACTAAGAGCTTCTGCACAGCAAAAGAAACTATCATTAGAGTGAACAGAAAACTTACAGAATGGGAGAAAACTTTTGCACTCTATCCATCTGACAAAGGTCTAATATCAAGAGTCTACAAGAAACTTAAATTTACAAGAAAAAAAATTAAAAAGTGGGCAAAAGACATGAACAGGTACTTCTCAGAAGACATACATGCAGCCAACAAACCTGTAAAAAAAGCTCAACATCGCTGATCATTAGAGAAATGTAAATCAAAACCACAGTAAGAAAACATGTCATGCCAATCAGAATGGTGATTATTAAGAGTCAAAAAACAACAGCTGCTGATCAGGTTGTGGAGAAAAAGGAATGCTTTTACACTGCTGGTGGCATTGTAAATTAGTTCAACCGTTGTCGAATACAGTGTGGCATGATTCCTCAAAGACCTAGAGACAGAAATACCATTTGATCCAGTAATCCTATTACTGGGTATATACCCAAATAAATATAAATCGTTATATTATAAAGATACATCCATGCATATGTTCATTGAATCACTGTTCACAATAAGAAAAACATGGAATCAACCCGAATGCCCATCAGTAATATACTGGATAAAGATAATGTTGCACATATACACCATGGAATACTATGCAGCCACAAAAAGTAACGAGATCGAAGATGGCTGATTAGGAGCAGCTCAGGATTGCAGCTCCCAGTGAAGGCACAGAGGGTGAGTGGACACCGCATTTCCAGATGGATTTTTATTGCCCACAGACCAGGATATTCCCAGGTGGAGGAGCCCCATGGGTCACCAGCATGGCTGGTTTGGCCAGTGCGGCTGCTTTGCCGGCACCCCAGTGTAGCAGTTCTCTGTACAAAATACATGGTTCTGGGCACTGTTTTAGCTGGTGATTGAAGCTCCGGGAAGGCAGAGTCACCCATTCATCTAATTAAAAAGAGGATTGAAACAGGGAACCAGGCCAGGAGATCCCTGGGCAAAAAAACGCCACGGATCTCAGCTCCGCTGTTTCAGCCGGTGCAGTGGGTTGCTGCACGGGAAATCACACAGATCCTGGCGCCTTTTCAACAGGCAACTGGAAAACCTGGGAGAGTCTACCGTTCAACTAAAAAAAAAAGGCTCTGAGGCAGGGAGCCAGGTGATCAGGCTCGGCTAGTCCCACCCCCACAAAAAAATAGCAATTGGAAACGCTCTAGGTTGAGAGTTTCACAGCAAGCACAGCTGAACCCAGGACAGTCCAGCTCTGTGGGGGAGGGGCATCCACCATTACCGAGGCACTCCACCACTACGGAGGTAGTCCGCCATTGAGGCAGCCTGCCGTTGCCGAGACAACCCACCACTACAGAGAGAGTCCACTATTACAGAGGTGGGCCGGCTTTGCTGAGACATTTCTAACTACACCCGTATAAACAGGACTGCAGGGAAGTTCACACAGCAGCTGGGCGGAGCCCACAGCAGCTCAGCAAAGCCTCTGCAGGCAGACACCGACCAGGCTGCCTCCTCGCTGGGCAGGGCAGCCTTAATAAAAAGGTAGCAGCACAATGGAAACTCATAAATCCCTAACTACTTGGGACAGAGCACTTGGGGGAAAAAAAGGAGGGGTTATGAGTTCTGCTGCAGCAGACTTAAACATACCAGCCCAGCAACTCTAAATGAACAACAGAGATCACAGCTCAGCACTTGAGCTCCAATAAAGGACAGACTGTCTTCTCAAGCAGCTCCTTGACCCCCATATATCCAAAGAGTCACCTCAAAAAGGAGAGCTCAGACTGACATTTGGTGGGTATCCTTCTGGGACAAAGATAGCAGAAGAAGAAACTGGCAGCAACCTTTACTGTTTTGCAGCCACTGCAGTTGATCCCCAGGCAAGCAGGGCCTGGAGTGGACCTCAGCAGTCCTACAGCAGAGAGGTCAGACTGTTAGAAGGAAAACTAAGTAAAAGAAGAAAATAACTTCATCATCAACAAACTAGATGTCCACTCAGAGAGCCAATCTGAAAGTCAACAACTTTAAAGACGACAGGTGGATAAATCCACAAAGGTGGGAAGAAACCAGTGCAAAAAGGATGAAAGCACCCGAAACCAGAATGCCTCTCCTCCTACAAGGGATCACAACTCCTTACCAACAAGGAAACAAGGCTGGATGGAGAACGAGTGTGATGAACTGACAGAATCAGGCTTCAGAAGGTGGGTAGTAAGAAACTTCTGTGAGCTAAAAGAACATATTCTAACCTAATGTGAAGAAACTAAGAACCTTGAAAAAAGATTTGATGAAATGCTAACAAGAATGGACAACTTAGAGAGGAATATAAGTGAATTGATGGAGCTAAAAAACATGAGAACTTTGGGAAGCATGCACAAGTTTCAACAGCTGAATTGACCAAGCAGAAGGAAGGATATCAGAGGTTGAAGATCAACTCAATGAAATAAAACGAGAAGGCAGGAATAGAGAAAAAACGGTAAAAAGGAATGATGAAAGTCTCCAAGACATATGGGACTATGTGAAAAGACCTACTACTTTTGATAGGCGTACCTGAATGTGACGGAGAGAATGAATCCAAGCTGGAAAATACTCTTCAGGATATCATCCAGGAAAACTTCCCCAACCTAGCAAGGCAAGGCAATATTCAAGTCCAGGAAATATAGAAAACCCCACAAAGATATTCCTCAAGAAAAGCAACCCCAAGACACAAATTGTCAGATTCACCAGGGTTGAAATGAAGGAGAAAATGCTAAGGGCAGCCAGAGAGAAAGGTCGGGTGACCCACAAAGGGAAGCCCATCAGACTCACAGCAGATCTCTCAGCAGAAACCCTACAAGCCAGAAGAGAGTGGGGGTCAATATTCAACATCCTTAAAGAAAAGAACTTTCAACCCAGAATTTCATATCCAGCCAAACTAAGCTTCATAAGTGAAGGAGAAATAAAATCCTTTGCGAACAAAAAAGTACTCAGAGATTTCATCACCACCAGGCCTACTTTACAAGAGCTCCTTAAAGAGGCACTAAACATAGAAAGGATCAACCAGTACCAGCCCACTTGAAAAACATAGCAAATAGTAAAGAGCTTCAACACAATGAAGAAACTGCATCAACTAATGGGCAAAACAGCCAGCTAGCATCAAAATGGCAGTATCAAATTCACACATAACAACATTAACCCTAAATGTAAATGGGCTAAATGTCCCAATCAAAAGACACAGACTGGCAAATAGAATAAAATGTCAAAACCCATCAGTGTGCTGTATCCAGGAAACTCATCTCACATGCAAGGATACACAAAGGCTCAAAGTAAAGGGATGGAGGAAGATTTACCAAGCAAATGGAGAGCAAAAAGAAGCAGGAGTTGCAATTCTCATCTCTGATAAAATAGACTTTAATGCAACAAAGATCAAAAGAGACAAAGAAAGACACTATATAATGGTAATAGTATCAATGCAAGAGGAAGAGCTAACGATCCTAAATATATACGCACCCAATACAGGAGCACCCAGATACATAAGGCAAGTTCTTAATAACTTACAAAGAGACTTAGACTCCTAAACAATAATAGTGGGAGACGTTAACACCCCATTGTCAATATTAGACAGATCAATGAGACAGAAAATTAACAAGCATATCCAGGACTTGAACTCAGACCTGGACCAAGCAAACATAATAGACATTTACAGAACTCTCCGCCCCAAATCCACAGAATATACATTCTTCTCAGCACCATATCGCACCTACTCTAAAATTGACCACATAATTGGAAGTAAATAACTCCTCAGCAAATACAAAAGAATGGAAATCATAACAAACAGTCTCTCAGACCACAGTGCAATCAAGTTGGAACTCCGTATTCAGAAATTAACTCAGAACCACACAGCTTCACTGCAACTGAACAACATGCTCTTGAATGTTGACTGGATAAACAATGAAATGAAGGCAGAAATAAAGATGTTCTTCGAAACCAATGAGAACGAAGACACAACATACCAGAATCTCTGGGACACATTTAAAGCAGTGTCAAGAGGAAAATATGTAGCGATAAATGCCCACGTGAGAAGCAAGGAGACATCTAAAATCAAAACCCTATCGTCAAAATTGAAAGAGCTAGAGGAGCAGAATTTAAAAAACCTCAAAATCTAGCAGAAGACAAGAAATAACTAAGATCAGAGCAGAACTGAAGGAGATAGACACACAAAAAAAACCTTCAAAAAATCAATAAATCCAGGAGCTGGTTTTTCAAAAAGATCAACAATATAGACCACTAGCAAGATTAATAAAAAAGAAAAGATAGAATAATCAAATAGAAGCAATAAAAAACGATAAAGGGGATATCACCACAGATTCCATAGAAATTCAAACCACCATCAGAAATTATTACAAACAACTCTATGCACACAAACTAGTAAACCTGGAAGAAATGGATAAATTCCTGGACACTTGCATCCTCCTAAGCCTAAACCAGGAAGAAGTCAAAACCCTGAATAGACCCATAACAAGGTCTGAAGTTGAGGCAGCAATTAAGAGCCTACCACTCAAAATAGCCCAGGTCCAGATGGGTTCACACCCGAATTCTACCACACATACAAAGAGGAGCTGGTACCATTCCTTCTGAAACTATTCCAAATAATCCAAAAAGAGGGAATTCTTCCCAAATCATTTTATGAGACCAACATCATCCTGATACCAAAACCCGCCAGAGACTCACCAAGAAAAGAAAACTTCAGGCCAATATCCATGATGAACATAGATGCAAAAATCTTCAATAAAATACTGGCAAGCCAATTGTCACAGCACATCAAAAAGTTTATCCACCATGATCAAGTAGGATTTTTCCCAGGGATGCAAGGCTGGTTCAACATACGGAAGTCTATAAACATAGTTCACCACATAAACAGAACCAAAGACAAAAACCACATGATTATCTCAACTGATGCAGAGAAGGCCTTTGACAAAATTCAACAGTGCTTTATGCTAAAAACCCTCAATAAACTAGGTATTGATTGAACGTATCTCAAAATAATAAAAGCTATTTATGACGAACCAACAGCCAATATAATACTGAATGGGCCAAAACTGGAAGCATTCCCTTTGAAATCTGGCACTAGACAAGGAGGCCCTCTCTCACCACTCCTATTCAATATAGTACTGGAAGTTCTAGCCAGAGCAATCAGGCAAGAAAAAGAAATAAACGTATTCAAATAGGAAAGGAGGAAATCAAATTGTCTGTATTTGCAGATGACATGATTGTATATCTAGAAGACCCCATCGTCCCAGCCCCAAATCTCCTGAAACTGATAAGCAACTTCAGCAAAGTCTCAGGATACAAAATCAATGTGCAAAAATCACAAGCATTCCTATACACCAATAACAGACCTAAAGAGAGCCAAATCAAGAACGAACTGCCATTCACAATTGCTACAAAGAGAATAAGATACCTAGGAATACAACTAACAAGGAACGTAAAGGACCTTTTCAAGGAGAACTACAAGTCGCTGCTCAACGAAATAAGAGAGGACACAAACAGATGGAGAAACATTCCATGTTCATGGTTAGGAAGAATCAATGTCATGAAAATGGCCATACTACCCAAAGTACAGCTAGTGCTTGACTTACGACCACGGTCGGGACCGCGGACCTGTCGTAACACAATTTGGTCGTAAGTTGAATAGGCTATATGTACAGTTGAAATGGTGCACACAGAGATGGTAGGGATGCCAGAAGCTGGTCCGCACTGTCGTACGCCCAGCTGGGCAACGTTTGCGCTGCCAGATGCGGAGCAGTCGTGGCTAGCGATTGTGGTCGTAAAGTCGAATGGTCATAAGTTGCATCAGTGATAAGTTGATCAATACCTGTAATTTACAGACTCAACGCTATCCCCATCAAGCTACCAACGACCTTTTTCACATAACTGGAAACAAACACCTTAAACTTCATATGGAACCAAAAGAGAGCCCACATAGCCAAGTCAATTCTAAGCAAAAAGAACAAAGCAGGAGTCATCACACTACCGGACTTCAAACTATACTATGAGGCTACAGTAATCAAAACAGCATGGTACTGGTACCAAAACAGAGATATAGACCAACGGAACAGAACAGAGGCCTTGGAGGCAACACAACATTCTACAACCATCTGATCTTTGAGAAACCTGACAAAAATAAGCAATGGGGAAAGGATTCCCTGTTTAATAAATGGTGTTGGGAAAACTGGCTAGCCATGTGCAGAAAGCAGAAACTGGACCCCTTCCTGACACCTTACATTAAAATTAACTCCAGATGGATTAAAGACTTCAACATAAGACCTAACACCATAAAAACCCTAGAAGAAAATCTAGGCAAAACCATTCAGGACATAGGCATGGGCAAGGACTTCATGACCAAAACACCAAAAGCATTGCCAACAAAAGCCAAAATAGACAAGTGGTACCTAATTAAACTCCACAGCTTCTGCACGGCAAAAGAAACAGTCATTAGAGTGAATCGGCAACCAACAGAATGGGAAAAAATTTTTGCAGTTTACCCATCTGACAAAAAGCTGATATCCAGAATTTACAAATAACTAAAACAGATTTATAAGAAAAAAACAAGCCCATTCAAAAGCGAGCGAAGGATATGAATAAACACTTTACAAAAGAAGACATGTATGAGGCCAAGAAACATATGAAAAAATGCTCATCATCACTGGTCATTAGAGAAATGCAAATCAAAACTACATTGAGATACCATCTCATGCCAGTTAGAATCGCGATCATTAAAAAACCTGGAGACAACGGATGCTGGAGAGGATGTAGAGAAATAGGAACATTTTTACACTGTTGGTGGGAGTGTAAATTAGTTCAACCATTGTGGAAGACAGTGTGGCGATTCCTCAAGGACCTAAAAATAGAAATTCCATTTGACCCAGCAATCCCATTACTAGGTATATATCCAAAGGATTATAAACCATTCTACTATAAGGACACATGCACACAAATGTTCATTGCAGCACTCTTTACAATAGCAAAGACCTGGAACCAACTCAAATGCCCATCGATGATAGACTGAACAGCAAAAATGTGGCACCTATACACCATGGAATATTATGCAGCCATCAAAAATGATTTGTTCGTGTCCTTTGTAGGGACATGTATGAATCAGGAAACCATCATTCTCAGCAAACTGACACAAGAACAGAAAATCAAACGCTGCATGTTCTCACTCATAGGTGAGTGTTGAACAATGAGAACACATGGACACAGGGAGGGGAGCATCACACACTGGGGTCTGTTCGGGGGAAATAGGGGAGGGACAGCAGGGGATGGGGAGTTGGGGAGAGATAGCATCAGGAGAAATGCCAGATATAGGTGAAGGGGAGGAAGACAGCAAATCACGTTGACATGTGTGTACCTATGCAACAATCTTTCATGTTCTTCACATGTACCCCAAAACCTAAAATGCAATTAAAAAAAAAAAGTAACGAGATCATGTCCTTTGCGGGAATATGGATGAAGCCGGAAGTCATAATCATCAGCAAACTAACACAGGAACAGAAAACCAAACACTACATGTTCTCACTTATAAGTGGGAGCTGAATGATGAGAACACATAGACACATGGGGCGAACAACATGCACTGGGGCCTGTCAGGAAGGCAGGGGGAAGGAGAGCATCAGAAAGAATAGCCAATGGATGCTGGGGTTAATATCTAGGTGATGAGATGATCTGTGCAGCAAACCACCACAGCACACATTTACCTATGTAAGAAACCTGCACATCCTGCACATGTACCCCAGAACTTAAAGAATATTAAAAAAAAAAAAAAACTTTGTTTGGTTGATCATATTTTTTAAGCCTATTTTGTTTAGTTATGCTCTGATCTTTATAATGTCTTTTCTTCTGCTAATTTTGTGTTTGTTTTATTCTTGCTTTTTTTGGATCCTTACGGTGCATTGTTAGGTTGTTTATTTGAAGTCTTTTTCTCTCTCTTTTTTTTATGTAGGCATTTATTGCTATGTATGTCCCTCTTAGCACTCCTTTTGCTGTGTCCCATAGGTTGTGTTTCCATTTCTGTGTGTTTCAAGATCTTTTTTAATATCCTTTTTTAATTTCTGCATTGAATCATTTTTTCAGGATCATGTTGTTTCATTTCCATGTATTTGTTTCATTTCCAAAGTTTCTCTTGTTATGTCTACTTTTATTTCATTGTGTTCAGAAAAGTTCCTTGATATTATTTTTATTTTTTTGAATTTGTTGAGACTTATTTTGTGGCCTAATATATGGCCTATCCTGGAGAATATCCTACGTGCTGATGATAATGTTCTGTGTGCTGATGAGAAGCATATATACTCTGTACCTGTTAGATGAAGTGATCTGTAAATGTCTGTTAGGTGCATTTGTTTCAAAGTACAATTTAATTCCAATGTTTCTATGTTGATTTTCTGTCTAGATGAGCTATCTAATGCTGGGAGTAGGTCTTAAAGTACCCAGATATGATTGTATTGGAGTCTAGACCTAGTAATGTTTGCTTTATGTATCTGGGTGCTTCAGTGTTGGGTGAATATACATTTAGAAATGCTATATTCTCTTGATGAATTAATCACTTTGTCATTATATTAGAATCTTCATTGTCTTTTTACTGTTGTTTTTTAAAATCTATTCAGACAGTCTATATCTTTTAAGTGGGACATTTAATCCACTCACAGTTAGGTTTATTATTGAGATGTGAAGACTCATTCCTGAAATGAATTCTCTCCATTTTTGTTTGTTTGGGAGAGGCTTTATTTCTCTTTCATTTATGAAAGATTCTTTGGCTGAGTATAGAAGTCTTGTTTGTCAGGTATTTTGTTTTGTTTTCCTTTCAGCACTTTGAATATATCATCCCATTCTCTCCTGGCCTGTGAAGTTTCTGCTGAGAAATCCTCTGTTACTCTGATGAGACTTCCCTTGTATGTGACTAGATGCTTTTCTCTTGCTATTTTTAGAATTCTGCCTTTAAATTTTGACAATTTGACTATAATCTGTCAGGCAGAAGACATTTTGGGGTTGTTAGCTGTTTGTGGGTATTTGAGCTTCCTGTATCTGGATGTCTAAATGTCTTTCTATACATAGTGGTAAATAGGTTTTTTATGCTGTTGATCTCCTTTTCGCCTTCTGGAACACCTAAATTCATATATTTGGTTGCTTTATGATGTCCCATGTGTCATGTAGACTTTGCATTCTTTTTGTTTGTTTTCAGGGTTTTTATTGTTGTCTGTGAACATTCTATGTGCTGATGAGAAGAATGTGTATTCTGCAGCAGTTGGATGAAATGCATATATATTTATTGGGCTTTTTGGTTTTGTTTTTAATATTTTAAAAAATGAGATGGGGTCTTGCTTTATTGGCTAGGCTTGTCCCGAACTCCTGGCCTCAAGTGATTCTCGCATCTCTGCCTCTCTCTTTTTTTTTTTAATTGTTACAAAACCCAAAATAATTTTAATCCCTATTTGTAACATAATCTACATTTTACCTATCTATAAACAAAAAAGTTTTAGTATAGAAATGCCTTAGAAAGAATTCAATTTGGTCCAATAATTTTATAGCCAGAGTTTCTAGGATAAAGACATATTTATAATTTTCTGTCCAGGTTTTTTCAGTAATGTTATATGGAACACTATTATTTTATAGAGAAACAGTATGAAATTACATTGAGAAATGAGAATAGTCATTAAACATTAAGATTATAACCCAGGCATTATATATTTCTTTACACTTAAGGAATAGATATTAAGCAATCTTGGAGTAAAAAGTAGAAGGCAACTTGTTTCAGGTTTGTACCAAGTCAATCAAGCAGAAACCTGAAGAACCTTGTTTTAAGATGAGAGACATTTATACTTGGTGGGCATTTTCTTCCAATGAAAAAATGAAGTCAATGTGCCACTATCTTGACACTTACACAAATGTGTTTATAAAAAGCATTTAGGATATTGATTCTCACATTTGGCTGAATATTGGAATCACCTAGATTAAAAAGAAAATACTAATCCCTATATAACACCCCTAAAATTCAGATTTAATTGATATAAGTTAGGCCCTGGCCGTACAGGCTATTTTAAAACTCCTCCGGTGAGTCTAATGGGCACCAGTCTGAAAACCACTAGATTAAAGACCTGTTCCATAATCATAGAAGTCAGTCTTTAGCTGAATGAGTCTATGTGCCCTGATTTCAGAGGGTAGTGTTGTTGTTTTAAGCATCTAATAGGTGTATCTCCCTTGATTAAAAAGTAAATATCTTAGGGAAGAGATTTTTATGCTTTTTTTTTTTTAACGTTGTCTCCACATATCTGGAACAATGAAAGGCACATAGCAGTTGCCAAATATCTTTGGAATGAATATATGATTGCCTTTTACTTCTTTTATATCCCCATCTTCTAATAGATTATGAAAATAAGAATTCAAAATATATATATTGAATGAATGAATGACTGAAGCAGCTGGGGATAATATTTAAGGCAAAACCAAATCTGATAAAATATACACATATTTTGAAAACACATACATGTACGTAAATAGATCAAAAGTGGAAAAATTAGCTGGGCATGGTGGTGGGCACCTGTAATCCTAGCTACTTGGGAGGCTGAGTCAGGAGAATTGCTTGAACCCGGGAGGTGGAGGTTGCCGTGAGCCAAGATTGCGCCATTGCACTCCAGCCCAGGCAATAAAAGTGAAACTCCATCTCAAAAACAAAAACAAAGCAAACTATTTTGGCACTTCCTTGTATAATGTGTTTGAGATACTTTGTTAATAACAGCCTTCCTTTTGAGTAGCTACATTCTCTGATATGGCTTCATTTATCAAAGTTCCACGAGTATTACATAATTTTCAATTCAGTTAGTATCTTAGACTATGAAACTTTGGTTTTCTTAAAAGCAGCATTGGTTGCTTGATTGTAGGTTTGTCATGAAAAAGTGCTGCTTCACTCTTGATGGTTGGAAATCTTTTCTGATATATCAAGCGATATTCCTTCTGAAAGTGTTTTATTATTTTTCTTTTCTCCTTTAGAGGTAACCATCTGTTTTTAATAATATTTTCTAAAAGTTCTGCAGTTGCAGCTTGAGAGGTAGAAACTTTTTGCACATCAAACTCCTGAGCACTAATCCACTTGCAGTATGAATAATTTGGCAAAGGAGCAAATAGTTCATCCCCAGGATTTTCAATATGTCCCTTTTTAAATAGTCAAGATATTTTCCCACTGCAGTCTGTAAGAGCATACTTGAAGAATTTCCTGATAATGATCCATTAAGAAAGGAACTAATCTTGCAGCAAGAAGCTCATCAAGATCCACTTCTTCAGCACAGCATAACACACACCGAGAAAAGGTATGTATCGTCAGTGATCTTGTGCCCATTTCATCATGAAGTTTGGGCATATCAATATTTTGACTCATTTGGGAAATCATACGCATTTAGAGTTGATACCTTCTACGATTTGGTGGGGGAAGTAACAAACAACGTAACTGTAGAGCATCGATGGAAACCCTCTCTAGATGAGATTGCAGCATACTTTATGTACCAGTCAACATAGACGAAACTGGAAGTAAATAATTTTCTGAAAGTTCTATTGTACTTTTGCAGAATTTTTTTTATTGATTGTGGCACTAGACTCTCCTAGTTCACTTTCCATAGCTGTTTGCAAACTTATGCTGCCTTGTCAAACATTTGATTTCATGATAATTTCAGCCACTGGTGTATTGATATAACTGTTCCTTCTTGTACTACTTCTTAAAAGCAAACTCTGAGACCTACAAAGCTGTTTTGATTTGCATTTTCCATTACACAACTCCTTTTTGTCTTGAACAGTCAAAGTAGAGGGTCTCTTAAAAACAACACTGAATGGCTTTTGAATATTTCCCTCTGAATAAAGATTCAGCAGGAATTCCTGTTTGGGTTGAGACTCTAAAAACTGTTTATTTTGTCCTTCTATGTTTGGAAAAGATTGATGAAAGACACTGGATGCCTCTTGAATTCCCTGACACATGTACAATTCCTTCCAAAGAATAGCACCTTGGTTTGCTGTTAGAGGATGGATCATGCATATGACTTAACCCTATTAAATTATGACAACTTCCTCCCATTATATCATTAGCACTAGCTCTTCTGTTTCTTAAATTAACTAACTGCATTTCCTTAGCACATCTTTCTTGAAATTCTGGATTGCTTGTCTGTAGTCTCTCAGCAGAAACTGGTTCTTCTTTGTTTTTTTACTCTATGAAGCAGACTGAGAAGAAGGCACTCAGTTGATTTGAAGGAATTCAAATTGTTTAAGTGAATGAATTTTGAAGACTGGATCATCTTGGATTTTATGTATCCCACTGGGTCTATCTGAAACTGTGATGTAGCCACAAACAACCAAAATGTTCACAAATAATTTGTAATATTCAAAAGTAAGTAAAGTAGAGGTTCAGGGAGATCTAGAAAATAATCTGCAATTGTTCTGAATACATCTCATTCAAATCCAACATAAGTTGGATTATTCATATCATTACTTCTTGGCCAATTTGCTAGGCACTTCATGGCAGATAACACCCAGTGAGGAAGGTCATCTGATTTGTTTTGTAGTATAACTACTCCATGTTTACTTGTATTAGCCA